CAATCCATCTCGTTAGGGGTCTTCCTCTTTTTCTCTGACCCTCCATCTTACCCAGCATGACATCCTTCTCCAGCGACTGTTTCCTCCAGACAATGTGTCCAAAGTATGAGAGACGAAGCCTAGCCAAATGATTGGGTGGGACCATACAATAGGGTGTATGAAACGCTTACACAGGAATTGGTTAGTTTTGCCACCCAGCTATTTTTAAAAGAGCCATCTCAGAAACAGGAACAGATAGTCACAGGACCATCAAGAAAGAAGAACCATGAGTGGACTCAATGGCACCTAACAACAACAAATTGTGATAATGTTTTTAAAATTTTTAATTTCTTATATGGCTGCAACAGTACATTAACAGGGAACAGACAGAGGTTCAAGCCAGATTCAGAAAAGGATGTGGAATGAGGGATATCATTGTTGACATCAAATGGCTGAATGTAGAGAATACCAGAAATATGTTTTCCTGTGCTTTATTGACTATGCAAAGGCTTTGGACTGTCTGGATCATGACACGCTATAGACAACATTGCGGGTGGATAATGAGTATTCCGAACTGGGCAGTATTTTGTTATGTTGTATACTAGGGTCACTATGTGAGTTGGAACCAACTCCACGGCACATAACCACCACCACTAGTCAGAACCACTCGGCAGCTTGTAACAACAACAACTCTATAGAAATACAGTTGCTTTTTTATCTTTTATCCTGTAGCCTTGCTGGATGCACTTATTAGTGCTAGTAGCTTTTATTGTAGATTCTACTGGACAGTCTGTAATCTACAGAGACCTCCTCTAATTTCAGAGGGTGTGAGAGAATCAGCATCAGTCCAGGGCTGATTTCCTGTGACTCTGACCTACCTCTCTTCTCCAAACTCTGACACCAGCTGTCCCTCCAGTAGAACTCTCTACTTCTCTGCTTGGTTCGATAATTCATTGTAATGGCCACACAGAACAAACAGACCAGACTCACAGTTACGGGGTTTAGTAGAGAGGTTTTTGTGATTGTTAAGTGCTATCAATTTGGTTCTGACTCACAGTGACCCTGTAGAGGGTTTCCAAGGATGGCTGGTGGGTTTGAACCAGCAGTCCAGTGCTTATTTTGTAGTGCCACAGGATCAGGAGAGACACAGGATATAGTTATTCATTCAGAACAGCCTCTTTTCAGTTGTGTCCACAGGCAAGCCTCTCCTTGGCCTTGGACCTCTTAGCAACTTGCAGCTCTTGGGCCAGCCAGGACTCTGTCTTGAGCAAGTGTTTTAAAGCTCCTTAGCTCCATTGACAAGTGCCCAGAGGCACTCCACTCTGCCAACAAGCCTCCTGCCCGCAACTCTCTCACTCTGTGGGCCTCCTGGTTCTCCTGCCGTTGCTTCTCACCATCTCCAGTATTGTAGCTCTTTGTATCCTGAGTCCAGGAGGTGCCCAGCAAGGGATCCTAGGTTCAAAGGATGTTGTGGTGCCATGAATTGATTTGATACGGCTTTTCTATCCACAGTATTCTTAATTCTCACCAAATTATTTTGTGGGACCATGCAAATAGTGTGTACAGGACTCTAATGCTAGGATTGGTTAGTTTTGCCATGCCCCTAGGCTTAAAAGGAGTCATCTCATAAGCAGGAACAGATGATCCCAGGACCATCAAGAAAGAAGATCTACCAGCAGAGCATGAGATCCCTATCTGGAAAGGCAGCAGCATGGAAAGTAAGAGCAGCTGCCAAGCTTCCTGGCCTACAGGTAGCAGGCTAGCTGGCAGAATGTGCCCTTTGGGCATTTACAGACTGGCTAAAGGAGCTTAGTAACATTGGTGCAAGCAGGACAAAGGCCGAGGAACCACATGGCTGAGAGACCAAAGACAAAAGCGAGCGTGCCTGACTGGAGAATTACTGCATCCTGAGTTGTTTCTGCTCCTAAATTGTACTCTGTTCACTTTCTTAGTAAACCCCATAATCAGAAGTATTGCCTCTGAGTTCTGTGTGACCTAGCAGAGAAGTCTGGATGCTGTAGAAGGAAAGTTTAGTGTCAGAATAAAGAAGGTTGTAGGTGGAAGCATGTCTGACCTCCATCTCATAGGAACTGGCCCTTGGCTGATTTTTGACTTTGATTCTCCTTCCCCCTTCTGAAGCCAGAGGAAGTCAGACACTGCCTCCATGCCAATTTTGCAGATGTGCTCTGCTTCTCTCTCTTCTTGAAAGTCAGATCCACCATCTGCGAGTTTCTCTCTTGTAAGATACAATGTGTGACTCAAGCAAGGTAAGGACTTGGTAAGGGTAGTGACCCCAGTGCATCCTGCCCTGATCCTGACTCATTAACAAAACAACATAACCTAATTTGGCCTCATTAACTCACGGATCAGAATTTGCAACATACAATGGAGGATAATTACATCATTACGTAACTGCCAAACCTCTGACAATCATGGCCCAGCCAAGCTGACATATTACCTTAGCCATCATAGGCTCTATACACCTTATTTGCTTCTTCTTCTTCTTGTTAAGTACTGTGTAGTCAGTTCTGACTCATAGTGACCCTGTAACACTGCTTGTGCCAATGTTACAAAGCTCCTTGTGGTTAGCAGTCCAGTGCTTATCCTACAGTGCCAATCAGGGCACTACCTTATTTGCATAGTCTCATACAATCATTGTGTGGGAACCACAAAGACTATGGTTAAAAGGCCACATTAAGTAATTCATTGCACTGTAACAACATAAGCAGCCATGTCATTTATGAATAAAGACAGTAGGTTCTTTTATGTTGTTGTTGAGTGCCAGTTGAGTTGTTTCCCATCCACAGCAGCCCTATATAGGGTTTCTGAGGAGCAGCTGGCGAGCTTGAACTGCCAACCTTGCAGTTCAAACAGTTTTGCAGTTTGGTGCATTAACCCAGAGC